GAAAACTACTTTGAGTTGGATTCTTGGACATTTGTCATCAATTAGAGGCTTAGCTGTGACAGTCCAAAGGAGGTTATCCAACCAACCTGGGGGGTCAGAGACAGCTTCCCTAGAAGGATACATCTGAGCTAAGACCTGAAGGATGAGGAGGAGATAGGCACTGAAGCTAAGGAAGAAGGGTGATCGAGTTACGGGGCACAGTAGGATGAAAAGCCCAGATGTGGGGGGAGGGAGTCTTGACCTGTACTGCCCCAATGAGAACATTGCTTTCCTCTCTGGAAAGGTCTTCACCTGGGGAGAAGTTCCCCCCTCTCAGCCGGCTCATCACTCCCACCAGCCCCCTGCTATGCTTTGGCCCTGTCATCACCTGCGCTGGTTCCCTGCCCTGGCCACAGTGTCCTCCTCTGATTCCCCCTCCAAAGAACAAGAATGCTCTTTCCCATTTTTTTTAACTTTTAATTTCTTTATTTCTTTAGATAATGGTTTCAAATCTACAGACTATACATAAAAAGCATGTACCATCTAGATTTAACAGATGTAAACATTTTCCTATGTTTGCATCAGATCTCTTCTTTTAAGAAATAAAATATTATAGATACAAATTAAGCCCCTGCCCCCTTCTTCTCTGTTCCCTTTTTCCCTCCCTCCATCCTTGGAAGAAACCACTGAATTCATGTTGCTGTGAGTCAATCCTCAAAGTATTTTGCACTTTTACTCATTATGTGTGGGTACGCTTGATGATGCAGTTGCTGTTTCGGGTGTGTAGGAGTCCTTAGTAACTTCTGACAAGTCTCTCCAGCTCTTCACCTGCCAGACCTCACCTTCTGCTTTCTCAGTTGGCCCGGCTGATGCTTCAGTTCACATGGTCATTAAAATGCCAATTTTTATGAGGAAATTAGAGACAGGATGGTCTGAGATGTGCCAGATATTGATCACAAATTTTGAAAGTGTATATCCAAGAAGCAAAGGATAAGGATCCATCTCTGGGTATTGATGGTAATAAAGAAGGTTCCATCCCCCAAAAGTAGTGTCCTATAGACTGTACTTCTTAAACTTCAATGTGCACCAAATCACTGACAGATTTTGTCAAAATGCAGGTTTTGTAAGTCCGGGATTGAGGAGCAAGGGATTCTCCATTTCTAACAAGCCCCTGAGGGATGCTGTGGATATCGGTCCTTGAAAACCTTGCTAGCGGCAAATTACAGGCATTAATGTGGAAGCTTGAGGTTTATCAAACAGGGATCAGGAGAGGAACACAGGGTGTCCATCTCAGTTGGGGACGAAAATCATTTTGCCCCAAGTATGTTGAACAGACTGAACACAGTGCGAGTACAAACGTGACATGTTTCTTCTCCTGTGAGTAATGTGCCAATCTCACCTTTTTGCATCAGCCTTTTGGGGGGTGGAGAAGAAGACACCCCTCCTCTCACGGGGGAAAGGGGGAGGGAAAGCTACTGCAGCTTCTTCCATGAACAACAGCTTGATGTCACAGTGATTTCTCAGACGTCAAGAGTTTCTGCTTACAGAGGGTATCCAGGTTCAATCAGAGAGGGTGAACCACTAGTGGAGATATAATAGATAGATAGATAGATAGATAGATAGATAGATAGATAGATAGATAGATAGATAGATAGATAAAGTAGATAGATAGTTGATAGATGAGACAGATAGACAGATAGATGAGAGAGATAATAGGGATTTGACCTCATGCAATTTGTAGAGTTGTTAAGCGGTCCCTAAGGTTGTTGTCTTAGTGTCTGATGCTGGCACTCAAAGTGCACAGAGCAGGCAGTTAGGAAGGGGAGACAGATATAGAGCAGGGGAAAGCTAGGACAAGCTGGAACGAGTTTGCCTCTGACCTTGGTGGTACGAGTGTCCACAGAAGCTGGCACTCTTCATCATGGAGCTAAACACACACCTGGCCCAGGAGTTAGAGAAGTTGAAGGAAGATCCAGGAGAAGGTGGAACGAGTGCTGGCCTGGTTGCTGCCCTATGCAAACACAATGAGCCAGCAGCCAGCCAGCAACAACCTGCGTGATCTACCAAATGGCAGCTGCTTCACTTCTGCCCTCCAAATCTTGCCCAAGAATCTCTTTTGTCCCATCCTGACTGAATATACAGAGAAGGTAATTCTAGGATATAGTTCATTCAGCCTAGTCAAGCTGACACATTACAAAGTCACCTCAGAGAGACTGGAGGAGAGTGGTGAGAAGATGGTTAGTGGCTGCTGGGAAGATGGTCACATGACCAGCTCTGCTCTCTCTTAGGCATCTTGAGAGGATGTGTCTAATAACCCCTGAGTGGCTTTTTTTAGAGTTAGGGGGCAAACCACCGGTAGTTATGTCCTATTTGGGCTTAACTTTTCTTCCAAAGCATACAGAATTCTCTTATTTTTGTATGTAATTATACAGCTTGAGTCAAGGTGCATCTGATTAGTCATCACTAAGGTTATAGATATTTCATTAAATATTGCAGCTTTCAGCCAATACTTTTTTTAATAGACTTTATTTTTTGTGGGCAGTTTTATGCTTACAGAAAATGGCACAAAAAGTAAAGAAAGTTCTCACATACCTTTTCTCCCTCCACACACATTTTCCCCTATTATTACCATCTTGCAGGAGTATGGGAAGTTTGTTACAATTGATGACATTGAAACATTATTACTAACTAGAATCCATAAGTTACATTAGGGCTCACTCTGTGTTGTACGGTTCTACGGTTCTACGGCTTTTTACAAAAGCATAAGGTGATGTATCCACCATGACAGTATCATACAAAACAGTTTCACTCCTCCTAAAAATGCCCTGCACTTCAACTTTTCATCCCTAACCCCCATCCCATGATCCCCCAGCAACCACTCATCTTTTTACTGTTCTCCATAGTTTTGCCTTTTCCAGAAAGCCATATAGTGGAATCATACAGTATATCACCTTTCAGATTGTCTTCCAAAGTGGCTGTATAATTTTGCATTCCCACCAACAATGAACGAGAGTTCCTGTTGCTCCACATCCTCAACAGTATTTGGTGGTGTCATTGTTTTGGACTTTAGACATTCTGATAGGTGTGTAGAGGTATCCCATGGTTGTTTTAATTTGCAATTCCCTGATGACATATGATGTTGAGCAACTTTTCATATGCTTATGTGCCATCTGTACATCTTCTTTGGTGAGACATCTGTTCATAAGTTTTGTCCTTTTTTTAACGGGATTATTTGTTTTCTTCTGGTTGACTTTTAAGAGTTCTTTGTATATTTGGGATACAAGTCCCTCATCAGATATGTTTTGCAAATATTTTCCCCCAGTCTGTGACTTGTGTTTTCATTCTCTTAACAGCCAATACTTTTTAAAGCCCCTTGAAAAGCTCATAGACCCACGCCACACATACTGTCTAATTGATTTTTTTTAATAGCAAACACCCCACAAACAGTGGAAGAGTGGAGATGTTTGAAAGAAACATCAGCTGTTGAGAAATCGGGCATCGTGAAGTAGCAGCTGCTAATCTTTCTTCCCGAAAGCCCAACTGGATTACAACCTGCCACCCTCTTCTGCTTCTCAGTTTTTTGTTTTTTGTTTTTTTTTTTTTAATTTTATTTATTTATTTCCCCAAAGCCCCAGTAGATAGTCGTATGTCATAGTTGCACATCCTTCTAGTTGCTGCATGTGGGATGCAACCTCAGCATAGCCAGAGAAGGAGTGCGTCGGTGCGCGCCAGGGACCCAGGCCCGGGCTGCCAGCAGCAGAGCATGCGCACTTAACCACTAAGCCACGAGGCCGGCCCTGCTTCTCAGTTTTTATGAAGCATTTGAAACTGCATTCAGCTTCTCCCCCAAATCTGCTATCTCAGTGGTGATCCCATGATCCCTTTGTCCATGGGCCAGAGACTCAACCGGCCCTTGGCTATCCCCGTGGTTCCTCATACCCATCGAGTCCCACATTGTTATCACCATCTCCCCCAAAGCTGCCCCTTCTCTCATGTCCCCATTTCAAAGTCTGCTCCACCTAATCCCCAGCCCAGAGCCCTGGACCTCACCCTGGATGCCCCACCCACCCCGTACTGCCAAGTACAGCCAATAGACCTCATGACCCATCCACTCAGTCTCACCCTCTCTGCTCCACAACCGTAAGCACTGTCCTCACCCGCACTCCTCATTCCGCTCCACCCTCCTCCCTGGGTTCCTAACTTTAGTCTCACCCCACCACCTTTCCTCCCATTTGTTTATTCAACAACTGTTTAGAGAGTCTGGCTCTGTAGTGGACACTGAGGACAGACTGGTGACCTAGGCAAGCATGTTGCATGAAAGGTCACTGAATGTTGCCATTTCTCAGGGCCCTGTCTGAGGCCGAGTGGGCTCTCCAGAACTCCAGCCCCAGCATCCAGTGCTTTCTGGGGCACCCCACAGACCTCTCACACTCCCTGTGTCCCAAATTGACCCAGCCTCCTGCTTATTTTCTACCATTCCTACCTGGTGATGCGTCCGTGTCCCCCACTGAACCGTGAGCTCCGTAGCACGGAGACTGGGGCTGTCTCAGCCCCCCGCGGTGTCCCCAGCACAGGGTTGGCTCTTGAAGGTTATGGTATGGTATGGACAAGAAAGCACGCCAGGGAGATATTAGGGTCATGCTATCTGCCCTCTATCCCTCACTCAGATCTGAGAGACGCTGTTTCTGAAATCAAAGAGCAGTAAGGTTGGCATCTCCTCGCCTGGTTCTCATCCTCCTAGGATGGAAGTCCCATTTTGTCAAGAAAATCAAGGCAGGCATTGGGGACCTTTTGCCTCTGAGGGAACAGCTGGTGTGAGCGTGAGAACGCGGAAAGCAAGCGGGGCCCACCGTTTCTCCACGCCCCTTTCATCTTCGCTCAATGGGATCCACCCTGGAGGAGCGAGACAGCAGGACAGCTCCGAGACCCGGCAAACCGGGAGGCGCCTGTCTGCCTGGCAACCGACGACGTCACTGTCGGCGCCCTCGTGGCGTCATAGGCAGGCGCCACGCTTGAAGAGGGCGCGGGAGGCGGCGGCCGCGGCCCTGTCATGGAGTTAGCGCAGGAAGCGCGGGAATTGGGTTGCTGGGCGGCCGAAGAGATGGAGGCGCCCGTGGGGGCCCGGGCCCCGGAGGCGACGCTGCGCAGGTGAGGGTCCTGGAAGCGAGGACTGCCCGCCCTGGAGGTAGAGTCTCCGGGAGTGAGAACCCCATCTTCACTGGAGACGGGCCCATCCCCCTCCCACTGCGCCGCGGTGAGAATAACCCCTGAGGGCGCCCCCCACCCCGGAGTAGTACATCCAGGAAGAGGATCCCGGGTTTGAGTGAGGACGCCCTGGCGGTGACCTCCACACTGCCACCCCCACCTGCGTGGCCGCCCAGAGTGAGGTCCCTGGCACCAGGGAGGATCCTCCGTGAGTTAATGGAGCCCCCTTCCCGTGTGGAAATAGGATCTCCAGGGTAAGGCTGTCCCTGCAGCACCTCACCACCGACCCGCCACCCCAGCCCAGCCAAGACCACCCCATTGGAGCCTGAATCCATAGGAGTGGTAACCCGCATCTGGTAACAAGAGAGCACTTCCTGGCAGTACACTCCCACCCCCACCTCTGGAAGTGACTGGAGATAACCCTCTCCCAGGAGAAAGGGAGCACCCCACCAGGGAATGAGAATACCCCCACACCCAGTGAGAAGCCCACCCTCTCGGACTGAGAAGTCTCCAGAAAGGAATATCCTACCCCAAAAAGTATGGGCCCTCCCTCCCCCCAGAAGTGAGAATTCCCTAGTAAAGACTTCCCCGCCACCACCACCCTGGGAATGATGATCCTCCCCGCTGTGTGATGTCCCAGGCACACCCTTACACGCTGTCCCCACAGGCTGTGTCTGGGCCAGGGGGCCGACATCTGGGCCTACGTCTTGCGGCATGTGCACAGCCAGAGGTGAGCCTGGCTGCATGAGGGAGGCTGTGGCAGGGGAGGGGACACAGGCAAGGCCCCAGTAACTCCTCTTCATCCTACCTCTCCACTGTAGGAGTGTGAAGAAGATCCGGGGAAACCTCCTCTGGTAACTGCTCCTCAAAGCTATCCCTTCCTCTCTTCCCTGGTCCCATCTAACCATGTCCCCACCCACAGCGTCACACCTCCCATCTCCCCCTGGAATTCCCTGTCTGCCCCTAACTCTGGCCTCATTTCCTCAGGTATGGCCACCAGGACAGTCCAGAGGTGAGAAGCATGTGCTACACGATTTTTTTCATCCAAAAAGAGTATGTGTAGACCTTCTGCTCTAGGCCCAGCCTTGTGCTGGGTGATGCTGGGGACACTGTGTCACAGGCCCTGATCCCTGCACTCACGGTGCTTACAGTCCAGGGGGAGACAGGCATGAGCTGGGGGTTGGGGGCACATGGACATGAGGCATCAAAGCTGGTGAGGGGAGATGGGAGGAGGGACTGGTTTTAGAGAGATACTGAGGCCAGTGTGGGACCCAGTATATGCAAGGGGCCCAGGTGATATCTAGGAGGATGCTTCCAGGAGACCTCAGGACTCCAAGATGTGGGGCTCGGTGGGGAGCTGAGGACTGGGACAGAGATGGAGTGCCATCAGCGCAGAGACAGGAAGGGAGGGTAGGTGAAGGCAGTCCCAGGAGGATGGAGGAGGCCAGGATAGCACCCTAGAGCTTTCTGGGCCTAGAGGTTCAGACACAGAAACTGCTTAGGAAGAACTCCTGCCACCCACCTGGGCAGGTGAGGAGACCGGTTCTCCACAAAGAGCAGTCAGGCCAGGCTGAGCCCCAACCAGGCCACACATCTGACCCTGAGTCTGATCCCACCAGGCCCGTCGGAAGCTGGAGCTAGAAGCTGCTGTTGCCCGCCTGCGGGCAGAAATCCTGGAGTTAGACCAGAGCCTGGAGCTGACAGAGCGAGAGACCGAGGCTCAGGGTGACCCATGGGGGCTGGGCAGATGGGCAGCAGAACGGGGGTAGGGGAAATGCTGATGGCCAACCCGTTTCTCCCACAGACATAGCCATGGAGCAGGCCCTGCAGAGCATGCAAGACACCCAGCGCCGTGCTCTCCTCCTCCGGGCGCAAGCCAGGGCCATGCGAAGACAGCAGCGTGGGCTCCAGGATCCCGTACAGCGGCTGCAGAATCAGCTCAGGCGCTTGCAGGACACAGAGAGGTGGGCCTCAGGTGCCCAGGGACCAGCCGTCACCAGGCTTGGAGGACAGACGTTCTCCTCGGAGACCCCGGGGCTCTGCCTTGACCCCTTCTTGGGCTCCAGAATTCTGAGCTGCACTCCTTAGGATTTAAAGTCCATGAGGCCAGGAAATTTTGTCATCTCAGCCACCTGTATCCAGTGCCTAGAATGGTGCAGACTATATAGAATGCCAGTGTGGGGGAAAGTATCGAGGTGGGTATGTTAATTGAGGTGAATCCTGCAAAGTGCTTAGAAGAGTTCCTAATATCCATCGTTATTATTCTGAATGTGATGGGAACATAGCACGTTGTTTTCGAGGGTTTTGAGCAGAACACTGACATGATCAGTCTGAGGTTCTAACAGGATCATTGACTACTGAGTGGAGAAAAGACTGCAGAGGGCGAGAGCAGAGAGAGCAGTGAGGAGGCTAATGCAGTCGTCCAGCCAGGAGATGACAATGGCCTAATTTTGGAGGTGGCCCCTGAGATCCAGGCTTGGTGATCCCTGTGACTAGCTTTGCTGGCAGCAGGAGGGGACACAGCTCTCCCAACTCCCTCCTCCCAGGGACCCCAGCCCCAACTGCACTCCTCTCTCCAGGAAGGCCAAAATGAATATAACCTTTGGACCCTTGACATCAGCCGCCCTAGGCCTAGAGCCTGTGGTCCTGGTAAGAGCCCTGGGCCATGAGGGAAGGAGTGGGGAATCTGGGGTCAAGTGGACCCCTGGGTCTCCCTCACGCTCCATCATCCTCTTCTTCCCAGAGTGATGTCCGAACAGCCTGCACTCTCCGGACCCAGTTCCTGCAGAACCTCCTGACTCCTCAGGCCAAGGGAGGCAGCATCCTGTGAGTGTCCCCCAGCCCCCAGAGACCCTGCAAAGAACCGGGGCTCTGGGGAGAGTTACTTGTCTATTAATTCCTCAGACACTGAGCCTCTGGGCTATGTCAGCCCCAGGCTCTGCCCTGACAGGGCGCCCAGGCTAGGAAGAGGGGGAGTCCAGACCCATCACAGACAGTGACAACCCAGGTGGTTAGGGCTGTCGGAGGGTAGGGAAGCCTGAGAGGCTCTGGGTACCTCTCAGATGCCCTACCCAGCTAAGGAAGCGGGGAGGATGGGCTCTCTGGTGAGGAGGGTAGGAGGTTGCGAGGGTGTCCAGGTACACAGCACGTGTGAGAGGGGCAAGGCCAGCCGGTTGATGTAAGTGGGGAATGCAAGTGTAGCAGGCATAGACAGACTTGGTTTCCTCATCCTTAAATGGGGACAGTGGCAGCCCCTACCTTATAGGGTGGTGGTGATCATTAGAGGGAGAATTGATGTGTCTTGTAATATTCTCTGTCCCCTCCAACCCCACAGAACCCCTCGAGATGACCACTTTGGAACTTCCTACCAGCAGTGGCTCAGCTCAGTGGAGGTGAGGGGGGCTCTCAGGAAAGGTCACACCCTCTGCCCCTTGATCAAACCTCAGGGTGCCAGGACCTAACTCTTGATCCCTCCCCCATCTCCATGGGGTCCCAGCTCGCAGCCCTGCTTCCACCCTTCCCTGACTCCACTCCTCCCCCACCAGACACTGCTGACACGCCACCCTCCGGGCCACATCCTGGCTGCCTTGGAACACCTGGCTGCAGAGCGAGAGGCAGAGATCCGGGCCCTGTGCAGTTCGGACGGGCTCCAAGATACAGAGATAACCAGGTGAGGAGTGGATGCTCCCACAGTCAGAGCAGAGCAGGTGGCTGGGTGAGCTGAGACAAGTCAGGACCAGGCACGGTGGCCTGCTGACAGGGGTGCGACTGAAACCCAGTGACTAGTCCGGCAGTTGGACTGACATTGGCTACCCCCAAGGGCCCAGGCAAGGGGACAGGGCTCCTCCCTCAGCAGCTTCGCCCCTACCCCCCAGGTCTCAGGCACCAGACCAGTCAGACTCCGGCCAAGCCCTGCCATCCATGGTGCATCTCATCCAGGTGACTCCCAGGCACCCTTCTCTGGACTCCATCCCCTTCCCACCCCAAGACCCACTCAGTCCCCTCACCCCCAGGGACCACACCCACCCTGACGTTGTGCCTTGCTCCAGGAGGGCTGGCGGTCTGTGGGTATGCTGGTCGCCGAGCGGGGCCCCCTTCTGAGGGAGCGTCAGACCCTGACACAGCGCCTCCAGGGCCTGATGGAGGAGGTGGAGAAATGTACCCCAGGATCCAGCGAGAGGTGAGGGGTCTCCCTGGGCAGAGGCCTCCAGGCCATCTCTCTCCCAGGGTCTCGGGATAGTGGACCTTTTTTGCTCCTGTGGCTCCCATCTCTGCCTCCTGCTCTCCCTGTTTGTCTCCCTATGTTTGCGGCTCCTGTGCCTCCTTGCAGATCTGATCTTCTCCACTGTGAGTCTTGGTCACCCTCCTCTCCTTTACTCTCTTATGCTTGTGCCGCAGGCAGGCACTGGTGCTAGGGCTCCGGAGCAGTGGCCTGTGCGCAGAGCTCAAGGCCCTGCGCGCGGAGACCCAGGAGCTGCAGGAGGCAGCCGGGCGGAGGCAGCTTCTGCTGCAGGAGCTCCAGGCCAAACAGCAACGGATCCTGCAGTGGCGCCAGCTGGTGGTGAGAGGCAGGACTGCGGGAAAAGTGGCAGGGCCTGCTGGGGGACCAGAGTGAGGCCCGGGGCCTTAAGATCCAGGACTGGGCTTCCTGGGGGCGGGGAGGAGCCCAGGGTGAGACTCCCAAGAGGAAGCAGGACCCGTGCAAAGGGGTGAGCAGGGCCAGAGGCTGGGAGGTGGGAAGGAAAAGCTGCCCGTCTCACTGGCCTCCTGGTTGTCCAGGAGGAGACGCAGGAACAGGTCCGCCTGCTCATCAAGGGCAACTCAGCCAGCAAGACACGCCTGTGCCGGAGCCCTGGGGAGGTGAGACTGGAGTTGGGGCAAGGTGTGGGTAGGGCGGTCTCCTAGGGATGGGGCTGCGTGGCCTCAGGCTGCCCCTCCCCCTCCTCTCCTTCCCCACAGGTGCTGGCTCTGGTTCAGCGAAAAATGGTTCCCACATCTGAGGCGGTGGCACCACAGAGCCAGGAGCTGCTTCGCTGTCTGGAGGAGGAAGCCCGGCATCTGCCCCACCTTCTGCTGGGCACCCTGCTGCGGCACAGCCCCGGGGGGTGAGACTGGGCTACCCCCATACCCCTCCCCTGGATGACTACTCCTTGGGCACACTCCAAAAAAATAATCTCAGGCCCCCAGTGTTCCCAGGCTGCCAGACCTCACCCTCAGGTCCTCGGCCCCGCTCTGGAATCCTAGTCCCCAGACCCACCTCCAAGTTCCCACGCCTCCTGAGCCCACCTCTGAGCCCTTAGAGCCTCTGGAACCCACGCCTTCCTCTCAGTGCCCCCCTAACCTGGACTTTCCCGCCAGGTCGCAGCCCCTGCCCACGGTCCTGCCATCCATCCACCAGATGCATCCTGCGTCCCCAAGGAGCTCCAGCCTCACAGTGCTGAGCCACACACTGGGGCTGCCTGCAGGGAAGGTGAGTGCAAGTCCCCTAGGACCTGCCTTCCCACCCCTACCCCAACCCGAGGTGACCATCCTTGCCCCTTCCTCCAGGCTCCGGAGCTGCTCCTCCCAAAGGCTGCCTCTCTTCGCCAGGACCTTCTCTTCTTGGAGGACCAGCGGAGTCTCCGGTGCTGGGATCTGCTCCACATGAAGACCAGCCTGCCACCGGGACCGTCCACCCAGGGTAGGCCTGCCCTGCTCCCTATGCAGCATCCCTGCCCATTCCCAGGACCAGCAGCCTCCAGAAGAAATCAGACACCTGTTGCTTACACAGTGCCCCCTGCATGCTGAGGGCTTTAAGCATGGGCACTAGTTTCCTCTGGAGGCAGTCCTGTGGGGTTAGTGCTCTCGTTCCGCCCATCTTACACAGGAGGGAATGAGACCCAGAGGGCTTGGTAGCTGCCCAGTTGGCAGAGCTAGGAGTTGAATCCAGGCAGCCTGACCCGGGTCTGTGCTCCTAACCGCGAGGCGACACTGCCCATCGAATTGCCAAGTACTCGTTAGTCACTGTCCAGTAGTCTACTTGAGTGGTTAAAGCTGGCTGTGGAGTTGAAGTACCTGGATTCTCTTCTCAGCCCTCCCTCTTCCTTGCTGTCGATCTCCCTGTGCCTCAGGGGTAAGCATAATCATGGTCCCTTACCGAGTTGCTGGGGAGACTCAGTCAGGTGACCCAAATGGGGCACTGAGCAACGCCCAGCACGCAGTGAGCCTCAGGTCGCTGGCGTGATAGTGACGCACACGTGCAGTCTCTTCCAGTCCTCACCACGAGGAGAGGGATTGTTAAGACCTCAGTTTACAGAGAGAAGACTGAAACTCAGAAAAGTCATTCCTGCCTGGATTCACTCGGCAAGCACCCACTGGGCACCTGCCGGGTGCTGGCCCCGAGAGCTCAGTGGGGAGAGAAGCGAGAGCTGTCCAGCCCCACGGCTTTCCCAATGGTGGAAGCAACCAGCAAAGAATCATGGGATAAACAGATGGAAGAGGTGACCTGATGAGAAATGAATCGGGGTGCCATCAGCCAAGTAGCAAGAAACCATGTTTAGGCCTTTGCGTTTAGGGCTCCCTGCCTTCACCTCTCCACATGGGCCGGGAGCAGTGTGCCGGGACAGCGGGAGCAGCCCGAGACACAGCACAGTGTCGTCTGTCGTCCCACCTCATGGGCATCTTGGACTTAACCTGTCTGTAGCGGAACTTAGTTCCCTCTGCTCCAAAAAGCAATTTTCTTCTTCCTCCTAGTTTCCTGCCCTCAGAAAATGACCCCACCCTCCTCATGCAGGTGCTGAACCACCCAGGAGTCACCCTTGGTTCCTCCTAGTCGTCTAACCCCCCGACCTTCAACCTGTCAGCAAGCCCTGTGGGTCCTATCTCCAGAGTACCCCAGTCTGCCCCTGCCCCTCTAGCCTGTGGCTCAGATCATTCCACCTGACCGCAGGAGTGGCTGAAGAAAGAGCAAGTGTCATGCCCCGGGTCACAAGGCAAGGAAGGGATGGAGTCAGGATTCAGGCCCAAAGGACCCGACCACACTGCTGAGCTGCACTTGCTCTGAGCTGGGCTTGTTCTGGGTCTGTGGAGAGGGACTAGGCCCCATCACAGGCCCCAGGGGGAAACACCACTGGAGTGAAGGGCTGCAGCATTCGGAGGGGGTGGTCCTGGGGTTGAGGACTACTAGGAAGGACTTCCAGGAGGAAAGGTGGTGTCTGGGGTGGGCCCTGGGAGACAGGGGAGGGTTTGCCCAGGAGTAGCGAGCAGAGGCCACAAGATACAAACCCTCAAGTTCTAGGCTCAGGAGCGTGGACTTTGTCTTGGCCCTGGGGAGCCTTAGAGGGTTCAAGCAGGAGAGGGAAGGGATCAGGTAGAAGTTCAGGAAGATCACTCTGGCTGTGGAGGATGGACCAAAGAGAGAGGCTGAGGCCTAGAGCTTAGGAGGGAGGCTGGGGGGCAAGTAGGGATGGGGAGAGGAGAGGAAGCTGAGGGATGGCCGTGGAGATTGATGGGCTGTCAAGGGGAGGGAGAAAGGCATCCAGAATGAGGCCTGGGGAGTGGTGGGCTTGCCCTTGAGGCAGGACCTGGAGGAGGGAGAGGTTTGGGAGATGCTGAGGTCAGGACTGGGTGCCTGGAGACTTGCTGACCACTGGCTGCGAGGCTCCAGGGAGCCAGAGGACTCAGTGCTTTCTCCCTGGTTTCTGACCCGTAGAGCTGCTGCAGATCCGGGCATCCCAGGAAAAGGAGCAGAAGGAGGACCTGGGGCAGGCCCTGAAGCGGCTGGAGAACCTGCTGCAGCAAGCGCTGGAGCGAATCCCCAAGCTACAGGGGGTTGTGGGGGACTGGTGAGAGGGGACGTGATGGGGGAGGTGGGGACTAAGCCGGCTGGAACAAGCGGAGCCCAGGCTGGGGGGCTGGGGACAAGCAGGCCATGGTGTTGCGGGGAGGCCACGGAGGGTCTTCAGGTCCCAGCCTTCCCTCTAACACCATCCCCTTCTGCAGGTGGGAGCAGCCGGGCCAAGCCGCCCTCTCTGGGGAGCTCTGCCAGGGCCTGTCCCTGCCCCAGTGGCAGCTTCGCTGGGTCCAGGCCCAAGGCAGCCTGCGGCAGCTGTGCAAATGAAGAACAGACTCAGACAGGAGTTGAGGGCTTCCCGTTTGCTCACGCCAACACCTCCCCTCCCCCAAGAAGACCTTCGGAAGAAAGCATCACCTGGATGTGTCTGCCGAGACCTGCCGGCCCCCTCACAGGCTGCTCTGCTCTTCCTCTCAGCTACCTTGCCCCTGTCCTTTCATCCCACCAAAGCCAAGAGGATGGGGTTCTCTGGACCCCATCCCAGGCACCCCTGAAACTCCCCCCATCGCTTTCACCCTCAGAAAAAGTAATTGAGCACCTGCTGCAAACACTGAGGAAACAGCACCGAACAAAACGGACAAAAGCCCCAGCCTTCAGGGAGTCGACGTTCTAGGACAGAGAAACAGACCACTGACGAGACAAGTAAGCAAAGTATGTAGTATGCTAGAAGATAACTGCTATGCAGAAAATAAAGCAGGCTGTAGGAGGTGCGATGTTAAAAATAGGGCTACACAGCCAAGGCCACACTCTAAAGGTAGTGAGAGGGAGCACACAGGTATCTGAGGAAGGCTTGCAGGTGGCAGCTGCAGCACGTGCAAAGGCCCTGAGTTCAAATGTGCCGATGTGAGGGAGGCAGTGTAGCCAGGCAGAAGGGTTTGAGAGATGAGATTGTCTTCTAGTTTTTATAGTTTCTTTTTTTACATTTCAATCTCAGCCATTTGAAAATTATGTAGTATCAAAGTAGAAAAGAAAAATTCCAGTCCATAGAAAAATGGGCAAAATATATGAATGGGAAATTCTCAGAAAATGTGCTCATACTCAATCATAATAAGAGAAAAGCAAATTAAAACCACACTTGGATACATTTCCCATCTATCAGACTGGGAAAAAGGACACCCAGAATTTTGGCAGCTCACTGTTGGCAAGGCTATGGGAAGAGAGCACTCTGTTACATCAGTGGGCATGCAATATGGAACAACACCCCGGGACCATCTCCAGCCAAGCTGCATGTGCATTTCCTCTTTGCCCAAACAATCCCACTTTTAGGACTCTATCCCAAAGACATGCTGGGTGAAATACAAGTTGTGGGACCTTGTACAAAAAACAACTAGACCGTGTTCTTCAGAAGGTGAATGCGGGGAGGGTGGGGACTGTTTTAGATTACAAGAGACAACCAAATGCCATGCAGGGTCTTGATTGAATCGTGGATTTTTTAAAAAGTGTTTGAAAGTACATTTTTGGGACAACTGGGGAAATTTGTATATTGGGGGATATTACTGTATCTTTGTTAAATTTCTTTGGTGGGATAATGGCATTGTGGTTAGGTGGGAAAATGTTCTTAGAGGGTGTGTGTTGAAGTATTAAAGGTGATATCTGCAGCTTACTTTCAGAGAGTTCAGGATGAGAGAGAATAAGGTAGAAGGGGCACGGATGGAAGCCAGACATCTCTGAATGTACATGGTTTCATACTTTTGACTGTGGAAACATCTATTTTTCATAATTTAAAAAAATGAGAAAAAGAAAGAAATCCCTAAAAATTCAAAACAAGCTGAAACAAATGAACCTAACTCTATATCAAGTTGGTGGCACAATTGTTTCAGATAAGAATTGTTTCAGATGATATTAACACACAATCCTTTCATTCGATGCCTCTAGTGGCACATATATCCTAAGAGAAAAAGAACTGCAATAAAATCTTAAACTGCATGCAGCAGTCTTGTTTGTAATAACATTGGTATTTTATTTTGATAAAAATATATAGTTTAAAATTGAGACCTTACATTATATATTTTGAAATTATATATTAGACTAAAGCAAATAAGTGGTTTAGCTCGTGTTACTGGAGACCAACATTTTTAATGTAAATGAAAAGAGATACAGATACAAAATCAAAGAAGGAAACACCCTATAATCTTTCATTTGACTCAGAAATATCAGAATGAACTTATGGGTTTTTGTCTTTCTAAAAAATATATATTCCCCGGGGCTGGCCTGGTGGCATAGTGGTTAGGTTTGCATGCTCAGATCCCAGGCATGGACTTAACGCACCGCTCATCAAGCTATGCTGTGGTGGCATCCCATATATAAAGTAGAGGAAAATGGGCACAGATGTTACCTCAGAGACAATCTTCCTCAAGCAAAAAGAGGAGGATTGACAACAGATGTTAGCTCAGGGCCAATCTTCCTCACCAAAAAAAAATATATATATATATATTTGCCTAGCTAAGTCCACAGAAAAGGTCTAGATATAATGACAACCCAGTAACAATGAGTAACCCCAATGCCCAGATTGTGGTCTCTAAATACTACTTCTGACTAGAAGGAATCAGGGATCCTTGGGACAATAGCTGATTCCAAATCTAGGGCAGGACATGTGCAAAATGAGCATGGGGCATCTTGTGCCAGAAAGCTAGGAAGTCCCCCAAGACTACTGGGATTGAGTCAAAGGACTCAGGAGTCAATCTGAAGAGACTGCCACTGGCCAAATATGGGACATTTTGAGCAGCAATAAGAATGACAGCAGTGATTTGAGAAGCACATAAATATGTTTGAAAATGTACGTTTATATTGATACTTATACAAACATACCTCATTGGTCACCTTTGAAGGGTGCTAGGAACCAATTCACTATTTTGAAAAGTTTTTTTTCATAAAATAGGAAAAGAATCAAGCATGTTCTCTGTCTTGTATGTAAACAAGTAACCAAATTCCTGATGAGGAGGAAGTTATTTACAAAAGAATCACTAATAATTGCAGAGAGAATGATAAAATTTGAAAACTACTATTTTCCATACATTAATGAAGTAATGGATACAGATAATGATCAAGGGCTGCTAAAACTATTCATGGAAAGGTTGACTGGCCTTCTTCCAATGGATGGAACAGGATGACAAGGCTGATCAATTTTGGCTGATCGCCAAAGGAGGACAACTAGACATCAGGTGCTCCTGATGGGATAGAATAGGATACAATGGGATATGTTACAACAGCACTACCTACAAAGTCTCCTTTCACCAAATTAAACCTAAATTGAATCCAGCTTCTAGCTGTCACGACAATATATAAGAAAGGGGGAGGGGCCAATGAGGAACAAGTGAAACAATGTAACTAAATCCAAAATGTGAGACATCCTATAGGACAATTGATCTGGTTTCTTCAACAAATAGAAGGCAAAAAAGGGGGCAGGGAGGAGAAAGAAAGGAAGGAAAGAGGGAGGGAGGGAGGAAGAAAGGAAGAAAAAGATAGGGGAAGGGATATTTATAGATTAAAAAAGACTTAAGATTTTAAAGCTGGAACAATTTGAGCAACAAAATAACTAAAGTAGTATTGGATTATAACCCTAAGTATAAGATATCCATGAATCTATACTGATATAAATGACTTAATAATTAAATAAAGGGGTGAGAATAGGTAAATCCCCTGTGCAGAAGAATTCCAAATAATTTATGTAGATACTCCACTCTCAAGAAGGTGGAGCTTAACTCCTCACCCCTTAAGTGTGGGCTGTGCATAATGACTTCCTTCCAAAGAGCATGAAAAAGGAGTAAAACAAAAGTAACTTTATAGTGGAGAAACCTGACAAATGCTACCTTAGTCAGGAGATCAAAGTTAACATCAACAGTGGTAAGTCATGTTGATAGTATGTACCCTTGATATGATATGATGAGAATTGCACTTTACCTCTATAGTCTTCTCCCCAAAATATCCATAACCCCCAGTCTAATGATGAGAAAAACATCAGACAGATCCCAAATGAGGAACAGTCTACAAAATACCTGACCAGTACTCCTCAAAACTGTCAAATTCATGAAAAACAAGGAAAGTGTGAGAAATTGTCACAAGCAAGAGTAGCCTAAGGAAACATGACAATTAAATGTAACGTGGTATCCTGGATGGAGTGCTCAGACAGAAAAGAGAGAATAGGTAAACACTAAGGAAATCTGAATAATGTATGGCCTCTAGTTAATAATAATGTTGAAAAAAAAAAGGCTTCCTATTCTCTTCTTATCACATCTCTAGCACAGAAGCAAACAAAAGCCAGTATTTAACAAGCATTCATTCATGCTGATTCACACTGGGACCTCAAGAAACCAAGTCAGCCAATAAAATTAAGCTTTAACAGAAAAAATAAAAACCGACCAACCAACCAAATGCAATGTGTGGACCTTATTTGGATCCTGATTTTACAATACCAGTACTATTGTATAAAGACATTTTTTTTTAATAATTTTATTTATTTTCCCCCAAAGCCCCAGTAGATAGCTGTATGTCATAGTTGCACATCTTTCTAGTTGCTGTATGTGGGACACGCCTCAGCATGGCTGGAGAAGCAGTGCATCGGTGCGCGCCCGGGATCTGAACCCTGGCCACCAGTAGCGGAGTGTGCGCACTTAACCACTAAGCCACTGGGGCCAGCCCTATAAAGACATTTTGAAGCAGGGAAAATTGAACACAGCCTGAGTGTTAGATGATACTAAGAAATTAATTTTCTTGGATGTAAAAATGCTGTTTTTGCTTTTAAATAGTCCTTATATGTTAGAGAGACATCATGAAGCATTTATGGGTGAATTGATGGATGTCCGGAATTTGCTTTACTATACTCCAGCAAAAAAATAAAAATAAGTATAGATGAAACAAGAAGGGTAGAACATTAGTAATTGTTGAGAGGTACATGGAGGTTCGTTATATTATTCTCTCCACTATTGTATTTTTTTAAATACTCATAATAAAACATTTTGAGGACTACAAAACAAAGGAGGGGTCAGCTATGTCCCAAGAAAGAGCGCAGAGACCAAACCGACACACGTGACCTTCTGAGCTGACGCATTTGACTACTGTCTCTCGGCCTTTGCATGAACTATTCCTCCTACCCCGAGTCTCTCCCCCTATTTTCATCCAGCAAGTTATGAGTTGTCACCTCCTCCAGGAAGCCTGGATAATGCGCCGCCTCTGAGCTTCCCACATCATGTCCCCGATCTTTCTGGGAGTTACTGTCTGGTAGCTGTCTGTCTGCCCCAGAGTGGAGCGCACGGCCCCCAACTGTCTCCCGCCTCGCCCAGCTCTGGGCTGATGAGGACTTCTGTGTGTTTTAAAACTCCCGGAACGGGCCTCGCGGTAGCACGGCAGTGGCCTCCGAACCTTCCTGAGCTCTCAAACGTGCGGGTTCCCCTTTAGAGACCGGGCCAATAGCCTGTACGGCACTCTTATTAGCCTAGGTTCCTCCTTGAAGGCGTGGCCGCCTTGCTTAGACGCACTCTCATAGCCCCAGGTTCTTCCATTGGCTCGTTTTTCCAGCACTCTGATTGGCCTATATTCTTCTCTGCGGGGGGCTCTCTGGATTCTCATTGGCCCGCTCTCCAAAGGCCCTCCCCCCGTTGGCGTATGATGTCGTGCTCCGGCGCCCTCGCTTTCGCCGCTACGTCATCCGCGGGCGTCCACCTTGACGAAGGCAGAGAGTAGACAGCGGAACCGGCGGAGGAGGCTGAGCTGAGGCGGTAGTAGCGGCGACAGCGACGGCAGCAGCGATGGCCGGGGCGGGGCCGGCCCCGGGGCTCCCGGGTGCGGGAGGACCTGTGGTCCCGGGCCCTGGCGCCGGCATCCCGGGCAAGAGCGGCGAGGAACGCTTGAAGGAGATGGAGGCGGAGATGGCCCTGTAAGGCCCGCGACAAGGCGCGATAAAAGCCGTCCCGGAGCCAGAGCCGCCGAGCCCTGGAGCTTCCAGGC